TGCTGAGACCCAGAGCTCCGAGCCCACCTCTTCGATTTGGCCGTTTTCCTTGCGCTCTGTTACGTAGCAGAGACATTGCCTGACACTGTGGCTACGTCGAAGGCTCTCCGAATAACAACAGAGCGCTGGCGACGTCTTCTGAAGTATAACCGAAATACTCAACATCTCGTCGGACTTTGCTTCAGATATGAGAACTACGTCTCGATCTTCGCGATCAAGCGGAATACGTCTCCAATGCAAAACATCGATGGCTGATCATACAATGAGGAGAACAAACAACAGATAGACCCTAAGACTCTGAAATGGACTCTCGAAGCAAAACGTTCTCGAGGGAGGCCACCGACCAGATGCTGACATGATCGTTGCACGGATGGACCAGCTGAATTCTCAGCGTAATGAGTAATGACTTTAGAACTTGCGAACGTCGCCGCCGCAGTTCGATACCAGCATCGTGGATGGAGGTAGCGAAACGGACGGAAATGCTGCGGCCTGCACGACGAGTAAATAAGGCTACCCAGTAATTAAGCATTCTTTTAGAAAAGGGGTTTGTTAGTTATTGAGAATGTATTTGGACTTCCAGCGCGGATGCCTTTTCAAGCTTTTAAGCAGACTTGTGGACATGGTACTTATGCATTGGTAGTTGTCGAAGATTGTTGTAAAGTGAGTATTGGAAAGGGCGAAGACGGAAGACGAAATTACGATTTTTCGGATTCTTTGAGTTTTCCCCTTTACTTTTCTCCTCAATAATTTCCAGCTTGCCTGTTGGAGACCTACCATCGAGCCTTGACAGAGTCTCCAAGTATATAATGCTAAGGACATTCAAGGCGGTCGCCCGCTTGAGAGCTTCGTAGCCGTTTGAAAAAAGAATCGCTCACGATTGCTATGGGTACTTATCGTTAAAAATTGTTTACGTTATTTGGATTGCTACACTCTTGACTGTTAGCTATAGAACAATTCAGAGTTTAGAAATTGTAGTATCTAAATTAAGAACGAACAACGCTTTTTAACCTAATGGTGTTTGATTCATAGGATAACCTATAGTACATCAATGCCGTATATGTATTCAGTTTACGAATTATTGGCATGCTGAGAAATAATGTCCAATGCACGCTGCGGTTATCCTTTCTTGATTTAAATAACTACCTTATTACCAAATTAATGTTTGTTCTCCAAATCTACATGTCAGTTAATTTACTAGGCCAGTTTACAAGCAGGATCCGAGGGAGGGCGCGCAGGAGTTTCCAAAGTCTCGCCGCTTCTCCCTGGAGCAAGTAATTAGGCGTTCTGGGGGAACTTAAC